AGTCGTGTTTGTTTTTGCGAATAGTGCATCCGTTTGCACAAGTCACGCACAGTAGCCATTGCCAAGGCTGCTGTCATCCATCACCCCTTACCTCTAATTAGCTCAGCTTATACTCTTAAGCAGTTACTGCGAGCGCATTACGCGGGTGTCAGTCTGAATTGTTCCATTTTGGCTGAAAATTGGGTCTCAGGAATGACACAGACGACAAATCAGCTACTGACAAAAGAAGAACGTGGATTCAAGGCGATACCAAGAGTTAGACAAGCCGTTGATTGCAGGAAAAGTTAGGCTGAACTGTTTGCAACAGTGGAAGCAATCAGATTGTTGAAGCTGCATTTGCTTGTTGTCTAAGATGGTCCGCATAAGGATTGCCGCAAGAACTACTTGACATCTCTCTATCTAATATTTACCGTAAAATATGTCACGATTCCCGAATGAGAGTACCCAGGCCAAATCTGCTCCTCTTATTAAATGCATCTAGGCAGGTTGAAAAAGTCAGCGCATTCAGGAACTTGTTGCGAAGATGGTGGATTCTCGGGTTGTGTGCCGCCCGTCTTTTTCAATCCACTGATGGCCTGAGTGCTTTTGGCTCAAACCTCTAAGCAGTGAATGTACTGAAGGGAATCAGTCAATGTTTTGTCACATTCGGCTTGACTTCAAATCTGGTCAAATCCTTTTTTTTTTAAACCTCCTATGTGTGAGTTAATTTCAACTTGAAGTAGTGGTAATAATGAACATCAGGGCATTCTACATCGGCATCCGAATCGCATCAGAAAAGGATCGTGCTGTCAACTTAGTTGAGTTACAATTTTTTTGGTTTTTTAACCTGTTTCCGCGGATCCAGACGACCAATTCAAATGTTTACTGCCAAAATCTAACGAAATGGGAACAGGGTGAAAACGATGAGCAACGCCTCAGACATGATGTTGCATGTCCCCTAATATTATCCCTAACCTTTTAAGTTTTTTACCATCTCAATGAAGGTAGCTGTTCTCAGTGTGAGGCCTCTGCAGACTGGATCATCTAGCCCCTGAGTCCGTCTAGTTCAAATAATAATTGTCGACGAACCGTGATCGCTTCCGGGTCTATGCGGGTCGCCGACTACGAGATTTTCGATGAAGCGGACTTCCACAATGTTGAAAGCCCTGCGCCTTTCCAGCCACGAACCCTGTAAGACCAATGCAGAATGCTCCCACAATGGCGCGCCAACACGACCTCTTTATTGCCGACCGTGGAGGCCGCGTTTTGGTGTGTGTAGAGGTGGAATACGCAAAAAAAAAATCAAAGCGTTTTCGCGCACGGCTAAATGAAAACGCACCAAGTTCTAGAGCTTTTTTCGCCTGACGCCCATTCCCTGCGTCATTAATCTTCGTACGGCGGGGCGTATCGTTTACTGGCTGGAACCAAGGAAAGCTGAACAGGTTCTGTGGGGCCACAAACCCCGATTTTGGCAAATAAGCCAAAACATACGCTTGCCTTAGATTGCGAGAATAGTTCTGATTCTCTTTGTTGAAATGCACCCTTCCAGTGGCCTAAAGAGAGTTTGGAATCGGTGTTTAGAAAAGACAGGTTAGAAAGAATGTGTGTCGGAGACATGCCGAATGGCAGTGTCAGCAGTTGTCGACATCTCTTGACAATCCTGCCAGCATCGAATCGATTTGCGTTAAAGGATTATTTAATTCCTGGGACTTTTTTGTAAACGAACGGTGTACAATGAGACGCTGGATGAAAATCCCTGCTCACAGGACGACCTAAAACCCATCAAAACCCATCACCTCCTTTTCTTACTGTTTGCAAGGAGTCCTTGGTGCAATTGTCCGCTTTTTTTTGTTTTACTGGGCTGATAAGGTTGTCTAGCGGTGAATTGAACTTCGATCACGCAATGAATGGTGTTCTACGCCAGCTGTTAGATTGTACCAATAAAAAACACTATTTATTGTGCCCAGAACACATATATGTAGTTCTACAAGCTTTTAGCATTTACACAAAACGATCGGAAACAATCGATTGCAGAACCAGATCGATAAGGAAGCTTTTACAGTTAAGTTGCATGCATGTTTGTCAATATTCATCTTTCCTTTGGTGAGGCTTGTGTCAGCACAGCTGCCTTTGTTTATTGCAAGCAAAGCGGACAAGACACCACTTCCACCATAACCCCTCCCCAGGAGAAAAGAAAGTCGCTATTTTGTTATGTGTCGACACTGCTCAACTGTGGCGCAGTCAGTTGTTTTCGTGTTAACCAGGCTTGCGGGCAGTTTGAGACTCTTGTTTGACCTTGAAATTTGCGCGAGACAGTTGTTCAAGTAAATAAAACAAAGAAAAACCGCCACTTAGATACCGTCAGCGCTGATTAAGACCGTCAAACCACCTGCCGAAGGGACGATTATTGTGCGAGCTGACGAAACATCACCACATTCGCTTGTCCAATGAAATGACTTGGGCTGGATTGGTGCGTGCATGCTAAAGCGCGAATAGAGGGAGCTTTGAATGCTTGGTCTCTGCAATTGTCTGAGTACAGTGAATGGTTGCCCCTTTTAGAACATGCAAGATTGTGAAGTATCAACGCACACGAACGACCACTGAAATCGTTCACTGATTGGTGGAATCAATTTATAATGTCGGCAAATTCGGCAACTGTTACACAACCACAAAATTGGTGCTCTTGAAATCAGGAAATACCCCAACAGGTCGGTAGTCACACCCCAACCCACCTCCCGGTAAACGATATGCCCTTCCTGTGTGAAATTCCTTTAATTTCCGGGTGTGACAGCCACTTCAAGCCGTGAGTTGCTATGGCGTAGTTGTGGAAACGCACCTCCCATTTCACTCTCTCAATAAGCGCGCAAACATCAAAGCGGTGTAGATTAGCGGCATTATAAGTGATTTGTTTTGTCAGGTGAAGATTTTAATGATGGAGGAATGCTAATTGCCCTCTGGACGGACACAGCGTCAGATGTTGGCGTTCAGGCACATCTCTGGGTGAAATTGTTTGAAAAGCTAGCAGGCGGTGCACATGATTTTTAGTGGGAATGGTGAAGCTAAACACACGGTTTTTTTGTTTAAATTAACGCAGTTTTGTGGGCGAGCATCCACGCCAAAGCACTATTTCGGCTGCACCAATTAATGGCTTTCGCGCGTCTTCTGCGCTTTGTTTATCCAAACTGTCAGATTTAATTAGTACGAAGATAGTCATGTATGTTATTGACCTTGTTGGAAATCTTGACAGGTAGGATTTTTGGGAAAATAATTCAGTGCTGCACAGAATCCCATTTACCGAGGCTGTAGCTGAGTTTTTTTACAAATAGTGACAATTATTTTTGCAATTATATGTTTTGGAAGTTAAAATAATTACTCATACACACCACAACCAATTAGAAGTCAGATTGTTGACAAAAAAATCGATTCCCAGGAATGTAACTGGCAATCATGCAATAACCAATTAAGTATCTTTGAAACGTATTCTAGCGATAGCCACTGTGGAATCAGACAGCAGTACTGATACGTAAGTGTGGTTAACTGAATTTGCACACACATTTAAGGAAGCGTTTTCCTGTTATAAACAAAATTTCAGCAGGAGAGAGAAATGTCATGAGATTCTCTTACTTATACTCGAAGTTAATTCCGAATTTGTCAGGCAGAGAGTAATTTTGATATAATGAATTGACCTTCACACGACCAATCGGGACGGGCAGATCTGTGAATTCACCACCTGACGTAATAGACGGTAGGCATACCAATATATTACACAATTAATTCCATCAAACTTACCATAACCGAGCTGAAGGTGGGTTGTATTTAACTTCGCGCCAGTTGGCACAGTCAATTGTTTAAAAGTGCACATAGTGGTTGGCGCTTAGATTAAACTGTTGCGTGACCTGCTTGATTTTTCAAAAAGTTTGTAAATCCTTTGCATTAGGCCGAGGAAAGGCACTTGACGAATGTGTGAGGAATGGTTATGACGCCTTTTAGGCCATTGTGAAGTTACGAATTCAAATCACAGTGGTTTGGCAGTAACCGTCATTTAAATGTTTGTTCGAATGACGTAATAGTTGTTGTACTAAGAAACCGTTGCGATGTGAGCAATATGCCTTCGCACACAATCTGCGCCATGCCAGAACCACATGGGTTACTTCAAGAACTTTCAAAACCTCGGAAATGTTGGAGTAAGTTCGTAGTTCCTTTCCATCAAGATTCTGATTTGGCACAGAATTCTCCTTACATCAAACGGCTGTCGCTGACTTTGGATAACCTAGGAAGGCAATAATATTTGCGATGAAACCAACATCTCACTGAAATGAACTACCAGTGCTGGGCTAAAGGGATCGTCTGCAACGATGGCTTTTGAAGAAAAAGGTCGTGGAGCAACAAATTTCCAATTCGGTGCCTGGATTGCATTAAAAAGTGATCACTTTATCAATTTGGTGTAATTTGAGGTGTATCCGAGGAACCTAACGATCGATTCAGATGTAGAACAGGAAGTAATCAATGAATTTCGTGCAGAAGTGGCAAGTTACATGGGAGCCATTTTGGGCTTCCTCGCACGTGATTGGTTGGGAGGTGATGACGCATTGCGCACCATTGTCCTGACCTTGAGTCATCACGTTAACTATCGTAAATCAATGTTCATGGTTGCATCGTCACTTTATTGAGGTGTTGCCGATTAAGTTTACAGTATTGACGGTAGATCAGTATTCACTCATTGTGCAAGAGAGTTTGATTTGACTCCACGCAACCGAAATTATCTAAGTGCTAATAAATAACAGGAAAATATCTTCAAAACCATCGAAATACAATTTCAGCCAATGAAAAAAACGAATGACTGATATTAGGTAGTTCGGGTGATATTGGCTTTGAACGTCCACAGCACGACAATTAGCCAATAATCACGCCTCCTTGATGGGAATGTAATGAGAAGCAGTGCGTAGTGTGTGGTTCCAAGTTTTCTACACAACGAGTTTGCGTCGAGCGTGAGAAACGCCCACAAGAGTGGATGTTCTGGCATGTGTCAGTCCCTACCCCCATCCCCCAACCTCCCATCCCCCTTTCTCGCAAGTTCAGCTTCTGCACAAAGTGTCGATGACACTTCAAAGATGAAGAAAGCGAGCCCAGTTTGTGGAACAGGCGGTCCCCATAATATCACTCCCATCTTCGAGGGTTTGGCCTGTTTTCCGGATGAAGAAACAGCCCTGCATCGAGCCTCCTCGTGGTTTCTTAAACAAGTCTCTCCCGGAACACGTCAGGCATAGGTACCTTGATTCCTTCGCAAGACCACATCTCTTGAAAAGATTCTGGTATGAAAAGTGGAAGGGTCATCCTTAACTTTGATTGACATCAACCAATGAGATTTGGCTGCGTACCGGCAATCCCTGACTCTCTGCCGATTGGCGGCTCCACATCAAAAAACGAACTAAACAAAGAAAAAAAGTTTGAGATGGAACAAAAATGAGCACATGTTTTACCCACTTTCTGGATACGAGGAAGCACATTGTGGTCGTGTAGGTGCCGCACATATTTCACAAGCGCTGACATCCTGAAGATGGCCAAGATGTGTCCCTTCAGACATGCTAGTAATTTTGGAAAACCAGAATCATCTTCATTGCGGAAAGTGATTCCAAAATTACCAAAAAAATGGTATTCGTTTCCTTTTCACAATGCGTCGTCTGTGAAAGGGGGCAGTGATTGATCTAAGGATAACTGCGTTTCGACTGCGCACGTAAAAGTGCACAATGTAATGACCCATGGATCATCAGCTCATGAGCCGTTATTCCGGTAACTTGCTGAACTGGGTCGTCATCGAAATCTCAACTTACAAGACGTCCACAAATTAAGGCGTCCGCGTCCGCTTTTGTTGGATCATCCTGAGTTCTATTCAGGACTCCTCGCCTACTGACTGATAACATGGCGTAGTGGACTTCCAGCGGTTGCAGTCGAAATAACCATGTGGGATCTATCCCAGAGATAAACTACCACGGAGTTTTAAGTTGCCGTGGAATCGTCTACCCCTTCCATCACACCAATAGACGAATTTTTTGTTCTCTTGATCGAACAGGCTGGCGTATTTTCGTCGCATTTGTTGCAAGAAAACGGCACAATGTACAGTCGAATATTCCGAATAATGCCACGAAATATGCGCAAAGTTATGCGCTGCGGAAAGACAGCACATGGGATGGTCGAATGCACGAGATTTGGCGTAGACGTTCTGCTTTAAGTAGGAAGTGTTGTGGTCCTCGGAACCTCACTGGTTTACCTCGTGAGGTCTTCTACACGTAGAAGGAACGGTGAAACATAGCCCCACGAAGAAATCACGCGGTGTCAAGACCGTGGAAGGGGTCATGCAATTTTCACCTTGTCGCTGAACCATGCTTGTTCAATGAGTTTCCTTTGTGATGAAAATGGAATATGGGATTTCCCGTTGTCTCCATTTTCAAACAGTCAACACCGCTAACCTTTACCATGGCCATGCGTGTTTTCGCGAGTACTTGCCTTAGTGTGCATTCCGAAATACTTCCACGTCTTTAGGGCAATGTAGTCGGTAATTTTTGATTGACAGCCATGGTGAAGAATGCCGAACGGCAGAACTACGGCCTGAGTGGAGTCACATCTGATTGATGACTGCAAGGGGCGTCTCCATGGCTGCCAAGTTAGACTGCACGTGCCCCAGAGGAGCGTGACATTTGGACCAGGCGTTGCGCCCCTCCCACCCCCCGCCCTCCTTGCACCCAACAACACCTCCCAACTGCCGAATTCCCATCACGTTATGTAAACAAACAGGGCCTGTAACGGTGGGAACACATTCGGCTTCAGGGGGCTTGTTGGCGGCAGTAGCGACCTGTCATCCACAAAGCATGTTCAAATACGCAGGTTAGTGATCAAGCGACAACGCGTCTGACATCTGAACATTTGTGGAAGATAGATTATTCGGTCCCCGCCATAACTGCCAGAGAATGTCTAAATACTTGGTATGTGTGAAAATGAAGGTGTCTCGTGATTGGAATTGACTCGATTTGAAGAAGGTGCACGACCTTCACAAGTCACGTGAACACAACTCACAAATGTGTCAAGGAACATTCATTGGGTTACCGAGGGTTGGAAGCCTTGAAAATGGCCAGGGCAACTCGGTGTTTTGCAAAGTGTCTAGACAGACCACGTTTACGCAAACGAGAAGTCTGATGTCGACTTGGGCTTGATTGACGTGTTTGATGCGGACGTGCGATCAAACACAGACAGGTAGACGCTTTGACCCTTCAATCAACCCGCCGCACGCACGCACATGTAAACAGATCATCAAAGCCTTCCAAACACGTGCAGTTGTGTCGGCATCGTTGTCGGTGAGGTGAATCATCCTTGTGGAAGATGCACGCTGCATTGAATTCAATTTCTCGCAGGAGGAGAAATCTGACGGGGTTTTAATCATCAGGGTTATAAACTGAACTTTTTTTACATGATGAAGGAGCAAATTTTCCTAAAAAAGACCGGGAAATCTTTGAAATGCTATCATTGTGGATGCCTATATAATTCTACATCAACGTGAGGGTTGTTTTAACCTATTAAACTGTGACTATCGATTTGGAGGCGGCTTGAATCCAAGGTAAGGCTGAGTCTAGCATCGACTTCCGTCGACAAATATTTGGAGTTAAAACAATGGTTTCGGTTCCCACAAAGGAAACTGCACAAGCCCCGGCAGTGTGCATGTATTTTAGGTATCTGTACAGCCACAAGAGACGATAAGCACAAAACACAGAGTGGTATTTCGCTTGTCTTGTCTGCACGATCTGCTGACATTCAAAGAACGCGCTTAGTCGTGTCTCTGAAATTTCAGCCAGAAATCGGGTTCCATGGGAGTTAGAATATTCTGGAACTCTGAAAAACGAGCGTTCCGTGTCCTATTTCCCTTCCAGTCACAAAACTCCTAACGTCGACTAACAAGACTACCTCGTCGAGTCTGTAATGACACGCGGGTGCTTCAGTAGTTATTTCGTGGAGCCCTGCACCTAGGGAGATTCATCTGAAAACTAGAGGTCAGAGATGCTGTTTCAGGCGATTCGCTCGGTTTTAGACTCTAGTCGGATACAGAAA